GGGGGGGGGGCTTCAGTCCCCCTTTGCCCCCCTGGATCCGCCCTTGCTACCACCATCATATAATGTATAATTTTCTATCTTCATTCACTTATCTAGTGAAAAAATGTAAAGCAAGGACTGTGTATGAAAATGCTGCGATAAACTTAGGATCTGTAAAAGATCTAGTAAGCCAAAAATAACATAAAAATGAATGCTATTGCAATGCTTATACTACGTGGAATACTTCAAACAACAACCATGCACAAGATAGAATTCAAACTAGAAGTCAAAATGCAACAGTGGACAGCTGTCTCGACCTTGTTGGGCCTCTTCAGCACAGTGTAGCAAAATAGCATGACAGCTAATATATGTAAATGACTGTATACTACTTGTCATCACCACCCGCAAGTAGTATACAGTCATTGGCTATCATGCATGTTGTTATTTTAAGCATTCAACTTAGTACAAGCCTTGCATTTATCATTTATTATATTCATTCAGAAATCAAAATGAAATAATTGACGAGCATGGTTGAGAAACTGAACTTGAAGTAATCAAAAATCAGGACAAAATTAATAGTCTCAGCTAGTGGCCACAGGACTCAAAACCAGCACCACTGGATTGTGAGACTAATGCAGCGACCAGTCGACCATGCTGCCTCCTTTATAAAGTAATACTGAAAACAGGGTTCGTGCTAAGGTAACCACTTAAAATTCAAGGACTATTCAAGTAGTATACAAGGACCCAAATATGAATTTTCAAGGAGTATGTTCAGCTAACTATGCCAAGGTTTTGCACGGTGATTACGTATGGCCAACTTTCAGATTTCCCGATCTTTCTGACTAGATCTATTTCAGAACCATGCAAGTAATGATCAAAACAAAAATTCAAGGAGTTTTCAAGGAGTTTGGCTAATATCATAAAATTCAAGAGCTTTTCAAGTGCACTTGAAAACGTGAATTAAATTCAAGGAGTTTTCAAGGAGTTTAAGGAGTAGCACAAATCCTGTGAAAATATTAAGTTAGGTGGTTAAGTTAGGCACTTTATCAGTGTTATTCAGTGTTACTTCAGTTTCATTCATTCTTTCATTCACTGTTATGAGGCAATTTAAACAAGAAATCAATCAGTTATATTCAGTGTTACTTACTTGTAAATGTTAATGGTTTTTCCTGTTTCAGCATCATGTTCTAATTTCTTGTCTAGTAGATCACATGACTTATTCAACAGTGGAATCATCAATTTCATTTTATGAGCACTGAATGTTGGTGATAGCGTAGTGCGAATGCGATGCCAAGTTTCTCCTTTTGCTGCAGTCATCATGGAGTCAAATGGCTTTGGCAGTTCCATTAAATCCTGTAAGTTGGATTTTTCAAATTGTGAATAAATGATGATGATGACGATGATTATGATTTATATAGCACCCTTTCCTATGTGGATATAATCAAAGGTGCTTTACATGACAGATTGCTTTTTTAAGCAATTTACAAACATGAGAGATGGTTAGTATGAAGTGGAGGCACTGAGGGTGGTCACTGTCAGGGTTTCTTTTTACGTCCTCAGTGGTTCTTTTATGTCCCCCATTTACTGTAGGTTAGGCAGGGTTGGGAGACAGGGCCTAAGGTTTTAAGTCCTTGTCTGAGAAGACTTGAAGGTCTAACCGTTTGCAGATATAATTACAAAGGCAGCACCTTCTCCTCAATTTTTTTTAAGACCCTGAGTGTTGGTCCGGCCGAGGCTTGAACCACGACCTCCCGCACAACAGACCGACGCTCTTACCAACTGAGCTAACCGGGTGGCATAAATGTTGAGTAAATGAGAAATCAGCCACTGAAAAATCCTTATTTGCATTCAATCATTTCAACATGGAATTTTCTTAGTCAAATTTATTTTATGGTTATCTAATATTTTTAGCAGAACAGGAAATAACACTCCTAAGAATTTGATGATAACTAATTAAGGTTAATGCCTATAGAGTTTGGATAGATCCAGAATAGTTTCTTTAGGAGAGGATGCACCCTTCATGAACAGGACCGTCACAAACTCAAGCTCAAATAATGCAGTAGATATAGTCTCATCTAAGGAGGTTGCACATCCTCTGCCCCAATTCATAAATATAGTAGTGATTAAATAAAACTGCCATTGGATAGAACAGTTTTGGAACACAATCACACATTCAAAATTTCTAGTAATCTTAAAAATGGTTTGAGATTCAAATGTTTTGCTTCATGTCCCATATCAGGGCTGTCAACTCTCCCGGATAAACCGGGAGTCTCCAGATTTTGGACCGTATCTCCCGGTCTCCAGATTAGAGTCTCGAATCTCCCGGATAATCCCCGAAGCTGACCATTTCTTGTGAGACTCGACTTTCACAACCATAAAATTCCAATTATTTTGTGTTGTTTGTGTTATTTTAAATTGCTAACAAAATCAAAACGTTCCTCATGAACTGTTCTTGCAAGCAGGCCATTGTAATATGAGCGATAATCTGATTGGTCAGAAATAAACCAATCACATCAAATGTTACAAAGCGAAAACGACTTTTCGCCCCTTTTTCTGACGCGCTGTGACGTCATGTCCCTTCCCTCCAGATTTGAATATCTCGGGGGTTGACAGCCCTGCATATTGCTTACCGGATTTGGATATCATATTCTTCATTAAATGTAAATAATGTCAGCAAAGAAGAAAATATGCTAGAAACATATGGGCAGACAAAGTTCGATACTAGTAAAATGCCGTATCATTGTGACCATTTGCTGATTGGATTAATCCGCCTCACCCATAGTGTATTTTGGACTATGGTACGCAACATTCAACAAACTTTTTTTGAATTAGGGCCCGTTTGCACTAGACCGACAAAATGTTGACACGTCACCACTAATGACCTGAATTGATTTCGCGCCAAATGCATATGATTCTGTTAAGGACCAAGAAATCTGACAGTTTTGACGTTTGACAAAATTTTGTCCTGCTTCGAAACAGGCCGATGGCGTCTTTGAAGTTTGGTAAAGCGAGAGGGCGATTTTGACAGATATTTTTGCTAAACAAACAAAGCCTAGTGCGAACGGGCCCTACTATATTTTATTGTAAACGAAAAGTTCCCAGCATTTATATGATTTTTTAAAATAAAAAGCAATACAAGACAAGAGAGCTGTTGCCGATATATTTATCGATATACTCACTTGTGCAACGACATTACAAACTAAAASAATAATTATTCAAAATGAAATGAAGTGTGAAGCTTAACTTTTTTTAATTATGCAGAAAAAAGCCTAACTAATCGTGACTTTGCTTTTTTAAATCCAGAGAAACTTAGTTATAATAAATAATTATTGTGATACATAGATGAATTTCTTCAAGGCTCAGTATCAAATTTATCAAGTATTTCACGTTTTAGTTTAAAATAGCTGATCAACTTACCGGACGATCATGAAAGCTTTGAAACTCTTTGACCATTATCTCTTTTAACATCTCTGGGTCACTCACCACTAACGAGGGCTTCTTCTCGAATAGAAACATTGTAAATAATCGACCATATTTCTTGTAGTAGTGGTCGATTTGCAAGTGGAACTGGCCTTTAAACTTTATGAGGTCGAGAATATTACCCACGAAAGGTAACGGAGTTGGTCCAGGAACATCGCCTACAGCAGCGACAATCGTAGAGCGTCGAAAAGGAGCAATGCCCCAGAAATACAGAATAATTGAGGAACATACTACAAAACTAATAGAGAACCAATTCGCAGCCAAGAATAAGGAAAGATCATTGAGTTCCATCTTGAGTTTGTGATAGATTTGCAACCTCGGTCAAGCAGTTATATCATGCATTGTGTGACATCATTGTCTATATTTAGCGTTCTAGCGTCGGTACAAACATCATACTTTATATGGTGTTGTTTGTACCGAATCTAGACCACGATGCATACTGTTTATCGAACTCAGAAAAGGCATATGACGTATGATGTTCAACGAATCGCAAAAAAATACAAATATCAATTAGAAATATATGATGAAATATCGGATTCGAATCCAGTCACCGACAGAAATATCTCTTACTACAGAATAGAAATAACTCTTAAACAGTGGAACCTCGTTAATAAGGACACCGCTGGGACCGAGGTATCAGAAAAACAGCTGAAAACACATTAGTTAACCATTTATTTTTACTGCACTGTAAACCTTGAACTACAATATTCAATATAACAGCCTAAACTAGAACAAAAAGTGCATTACTGTGCAAGAACTACATTTGCATTTACTGCACTGTATTGTACAATTTCATTTAAAGACGTCTGTGAGCTTTGTTTGTTGACTGTTTTCTTTTTACTCACACTGCACACTTGCAGCTACAATAGTTCACTGTACGACAGCCAAAACTGAAGCAAAACGTACATTACTATACAAGCACGACATCTTTTCTGTACCATACTGTACAGTGCTGTATAATTTCATTTAAAGAAATCTGTGAGTTTTGTTTGAACAGAGTTCAAAATACTGCGATTGAACCAAACTAATTGAACATCGCTTAAAATCCTGCTAAGGTTGTTAATAACTTTACTGCAATGATCAGTGTGTGGGCCGTTGATACGCAAAAACTGACAATATAATCCGTATAAGCTCATAACATCAATAAACAAACACATTAAAGACGTCTTCAAATTTCAAGTGTCCTTAATGCGGGGGTTGGTTATATGTGTGGAAGCTGTCATTCAGGTCCTATGTGTCCTTTGTACTTATCAACGGGTGTCCTTATAAAGCGGTTTAATTTAACAGAAAATGTATGGAGCTTTCGTTTGGCCTTTGAAACCTGTCCTTAATAACGAGGTGTCCTTATTAAGCCGGTGTCCTTAGAGCGGGGGTCTATTGTAGCATGTACTTATATTAAGTAATACCTATAGCAATTGAAAAATATAGAGAAGTCAGTTTACAAAATAAGAACATTTTTTAACGAGCTAAATGCATGAAAACTGACCATGATTTTACAAATACAACTCACATTTAAGGGATTAAATATGTCCCCGAAGCCTCGGGAAGTTTAATAGTGGAAAGACCCGGGGCCGATCCCTAATATCCCGAAGAATTCATGGTATTACTTTGTGATACTATGATTACCGAGGAAATAAACTTTAAACTTGACTATTCATCTTGAATACTAATTAGTAGCCAAAACATAAAAGGCATTGGTGCATTACGTCCAACGAGAAACATCTACTTAAATAATAATTTATTCTCATTGAAGCCATTATCACGTCGCAGTATGATTAAGTTATGGGGCGAGATCCGCGACGATGAYGAGGCAAACAGCGAGAATATGGAAAACGAGAACTCCCCCGCCACCAGGCTTAGGGGTGGGTTGGTGGGGCAAAATTCTTTTCCGAAACTCCAAACGACGTTATGCAATAAGCCATGTGTACGTGTCGACTTAATTTATTCTGCTTGGTGATAAATTATTCAGTGAGAATACACATAGTATAGTAGTAATGAAATACGCGTTCAGTGTGTGCAATGAAATAGATAGAATGAGAGAAAAATATCAAATGCCCTTGGCGGGAATCGAACCCATGTCTTCGGTATTCTAGTCCGATGTGTTAACCACTACACTATAAGGACCAACCACACGCTGGTAACGCAGCCGGAATATGAAATGTAAGGTGAGGATCCCAGAGCGATATATTTTCTCTATAGGTAAGTTAAAGACCGTAAATATGTACACAAAGAACAGACATAGTATAGTATTCATAAATTATGCGTTCGGTGTGTGTAATGAAATAGAGAGAATGAGAGAAAAATATCAAATATTTTATATTTTTCTCTCATTTTCTCTGTATACTCTACTGTATACTCTACTGTATACTTCACTGTATACTCTACTCTCAATCTTCAATCCGCCATTATGAACTCGCATACTAGCATCCATGCCATCAACCACCAACATATTTGCATTCCTGCAGACCCTTCTTTTAGGCAAGGAACTGGGCACTCTCCCAACGATAATGGGTGCACTGGACCCACATCTTCAGGAGATTTCCCTATAAATCAAAAAATATATAGTGTAACAGTAGTATACAGAATAGCAGTTCTACGCCGGGTGGATCAGGGTGGATTGCGGATCAGTCCTAGAGATGACAATGTAGACGAACGATTTAACAATAATAAATGTTGGTGCACAGTGCATTGTGGTTCAGTGGCATAGCGAGGGTGGGGCAAGGGGGGGGGGGCTGTAGGTCCATTGCCCATTCGAAAATGTTTATAATTAATGGTCGAGGTAACACAAAAGAAAAGTGAAATATTAGAAATTAGATTGAGCGAAAAAAAAAAAAAAAATTCATTTGTTTGTTTCTGCTTTTCCCTCTACTATTTTTTTTTGGGTGCAACCCCCCCTCCCCCGACCAAATCTTGGGACTTCGCTACGCCCATGTTGAGTTGACAAGGATTCTTTAGCAAAACCCCTGCATAAAGCATAATCCCACACCCCTGACCCGCCAGTTAAAAAAAAAAAAAATCGGGTGCGAACATTCTAATTACATACCATTTTTGTCGATGCCTTCGTAATCATAACCGAAATCAAAGGACTTCTTGAACATCTGTTGGTGAGTATACACGGGGAATAGTGGTACAATGACGTCATCCTTGTTATGGCCAATGGGTGCATCGTAGAGGGAAAGAACAGAAGCATCTTTGTTGTACTTACGGAGCCACTTTTCGAAGATTTGATCCACAAAAGAGTGATGTAGAGGGAATATTGGATCGTTAGACGCTGAAGGTACATCTCCCATCATACCTCCTATGGCTAAATGGACCTGGTTGTGCATGGTATGGGAGTTGGGCAGACGATATCCAGTCTTGGTATTGACATAGCCCTCAAGGATGTTCTTGAAATTGCAGCTTGATTCTTTGCTGTACGGTGGAAGGTCGAACATTTCAAACCGTAGCGCAAAATCGACTTCACTTTTGGTTGGAAAGGTCATCGTGTATCCATAAGTCTTCACTTTTTTATCTCTTTCCTTAATTGTGGAACGTAGCAATCCGCGTTTTTTATCTTTAGGGTTACACATTATGGTCAGATCATTGGTTTGTTCTTTAGTACAAATCACGTACCGTATTTGCCCTTCACCACGCCGTCGTCTTGCTTCGTCACGCCGAGAAGTTCTTCCGAGCAAATCGCGGGTTCACATTCTTTATTTGCGGTCCAGTCCCAGTATGGCTGGGCAAAGTTGTCATCACCGGTAAGTTCCTGTATGGTTTTCTCCCAGGCCAGCAAGAGCAGCCGATGCCAGGTGGGAAATCCCTGCCCGTCATGCGCAAAGTCTATGGCTGCCTCTGTGGTGTTATTAGGAAGAATGGTGTCGCGTGCAGCGTAGTAGTGCATCCACACAAACAGATCAAAATTGCTTATGTTGTGAAACAAGGCCACGGGGTCGCCACCAGCTTGGACGGTTCTTTTGATTTCTTCATAGGGAGTTGACGTCACCACATAATCACTATTAAAGTGCCTAGACATGTTAACGTACCTCATGTATCGATCTTTCTCCTCAGCTGACAGCTTGACAAAATTTTTGCGTGTCAGGGTTCGCTTCTGGGTGCAGTTTTTACCATAATAACCAAACTCGCACTTGCTGCAGTCGTAACCAGCGAAGTTTAACTGGCATTTACAGGTTTTGTGGTAAAGATCGTGTGGCCAGTCACGACGTTCTTCCTTGTCATGGAATGGATGGTAATGGCTGTACGTTAAATTCCACTCACGAATGATCAGTTCATGGCACGTTCCTCTGTTTCCATCACTTCCACATGGCGCATTGAAGCCCTTAGGGATTGGACAACACTCTTTGCTTCTCAAGCTGTCTAAGGTGATACAAACTCTAGGGAACTGCCCTTGAGCCAAGGGTAACGTGACAGCAATGAATACAATGCAAGGGATGGTCAGGCTGATCATCTTGACTTCCTAAGATGAATAATACGCACGGAGACAATTGATGCCATTTGATAACTCTAAGTAAGTAAGTAAGTAAGTAAGTAAGTAAGTAAGTAAGTAAGTAAGTAAGTAAGTAAGTAAGTAA